AGGACATGATCATAGGTTCTCACAATTGATGAATTGATTCACAGCTATTACATAAAGTTAGGCGCTTTATTCAGGCTGCAATATTTTATGAAATGGTTTTGTCCGAATCATTGTAAAATATTGGTGAGGATTAACATTCACATTGAAAGAACCAAGAATAGATTTGATTAAGGTTGTTTTTCTGTCATAAGGTATCAAATCTCTAGTTAACTATAGTCATGTAATTGCTCTCAATCCTAAGTTTATTATAAACAGGTAATTAAATAGTTTCATTCTTTAATTTATCAACGGGTGAGGTCTGGTCTTTTGACATCCAATAACTCGGTATTTTGGGACTGAGATCATTTGATTATCAATATTTATAAGATAGATAACATGAAATTTGTATGAAATATCCCTTTGATATGTTTCGGTACTTTGATATTAAAGACATTGGCTAACGCCAATAATCCATTAGAGAAACTATCACAGTCAAGAGAATAAATAATTGATTGACTAACAGAAAGCTCATCAGTCAATTATCAACATTTCACAAAGGGGCAATGCATATTCATGTTATATATGTTATTAATCTTGGAGTTCAAGTTTGAACTTTAATAGAGTAGCACTGATAATCATTGTGAAGTATATAATCATTCGTTGATTTTTAGGAGCCCTGATTAATAACAACTGGTAGATCCCTACGCTAGCTCGAGATAATGGATGGTGCATTTTTAGTTGATGACAATTAGTGAATTACATGGTTTGTACTCAAGAGCAAGTGAGAGATTGTTAAATTTTGCACTTTCAGTAAAGCTAAATTGGGCCTAGTGTGTAAGAAGAGCCCAAGAAACCTAGAGCCCATTCAGCTTAGGGCTAGAATTTCTTGGAACCCATATATATTCTACATTTATAGTCATCAGCCTCCTGGTTTTCACTTGGTGGTTGTTGAGGCTGAGGTAAGGTCATCTCCATGATAGTAAGAAAGTGCCCACGCACCAGTCCTATCCCTTATGAGAAATAATCCAAAAGATCTACCACTTGCCAGAATCAAGAAGATTATTCGTGCAGAGGAGAACAGTTCGTGGAGAGGAATCAAACATATATGAGGAGATACTGCATAGATCTACACGACAAGAGATAAACATAAAATGATGATGATCCGCGCATCCCAAATTGTAATGGCCTAAAATGCTTCCGCAGACCCAATTGCGCCTACACCTTCCTGCTCGACCTCGGTTGCACCATCGTCGCCGCTACCTTCATCGTCAGCCTCATGATCTCTTACATCCTTGACTTACTCAACTTGAAGCTCGTCGCCTTTTTCAGCGTCACTCATATTCGCCGCCTTCAATTCCTTTGTCTCCCTCGTTGTCCTAGCCGCCTTCTTTTGCACCCACACCAACTTGCTCATTGGCATATGGTCCTCACGCCAGTTAAAGTGGCTCATCATGGAGAACCCTTCCGTCGTCGTCGTCCTCGAGCGCCTCCTCTCTCTTCACTTGAAAAGGAATATCCATCTTTTTTTTAAGAGAAAGGGTTGAGAGTGGTGAATGAAAAAAAGAAATTTGACACTAGTGTCAAATTTGAAATTTGACACCTCATCTGAGAGCCATTAAATCAAAAAAGATCAATGGTGTCACATGCTTGCAAATCAGAGTCGTTGATCTTTTTTTATCTAATGGCTCAGATGAGGTATCAAATTTCAAATTTGACACTGATGTCAAATGATCCTACCTCACATATATATATGGGATTTGCATTTATCATTTCACATGACACAAAAAACTTTTCTACAACATTTTGTGGGGCCCACACTTTTTAAAGCAAAAAAAAAAAAACTACGGCACACAAAACGAAACTCTATAACATTACACAATCATTTTTCCTACAACATAACTCTTATAAAACTCTATATATATATATATATGTGTGTGTGTGTGTGTTTTTTTTTTTTTTTTCAATGTCGTGGCAAGTTGTATGTTTATTTTCAAATATCATGGTTAAGTTCAAAAATGAAACAATCAATGCATTCTTTAGAACAAAGCTACTCATTAGGGTAAAAAATTAAAGATATAGTTTCAACAATGTACACTTTTAAAAGCCTAACTTTGGTACTCAAAGTCAAATAATTAAACACTAGGAAGCCAAAATCGAAGTTCTTAAAAGTGGCATCATGCTAGTTTTCTATAACATGGCCAGAATATAGGAATATACATTGTTTGGTCAGCCAAAATATACATATTACATGTTTGGTCAGCCAAAAAGTATATATTACATGTTTGGTCATGCTTTACGTTATTATTATTAGACACCCCTCCCCGCAACTATCGTTCTTCAGTACTAACTGTCAGAACTGCAGCTTCGGCTACCTCATTATATTGTCATGCATGATGCATGAACAGTGAAGTTCATTTACCTCCGTTGTTGACTTAACAGCATGGAATTAATTAGCCAGTTAGCTTACAATTGTTTTTTGTTTTTTCGGGTAAACAGATGATGTTGCAGTGGAAAACATGCTTTTGAAGTTCGATTCCTTTTATTTTAGTATGTCATTTTCAAGAAGAGGCTGATAAAAAACAATATGTATTTTCTTTGAAGGTAAAGTTGGAGCGTCAAAAGGAGGAGACATAGTATACGCCAACGAAAGCAAAAATTAAATAAGATCCTATTTGGAACCATATAATTTAGAATTTAATTTAATTTATAAATAAAGTTCTTTATTTAACAAGTCCTAAAATATAAACTAATTTATTTGAAAACATAAATTTTATTAATCTGGTTTCTAAAGCTTTGTTAAAGTTTTTACTAAGAATTTATTAATTTAATTGTTTTCTAATTTTAATAATATACATGTAATAGTTTAAGTGGTAAGATTTGAATAAGTTTTATTTCCAAATAATTTTTTCCAATTTGAAATATAAGGAACAATTATTTTCTGAATTTTAATTTTGGACTGATGATTAACGCTTTTCAAGTATAATTTATAAAAGTTAAAAAAAGAATACGATTTGTTAACAAGTGTCAAAAGTACAACTATTATTTAGTACTTATTCTATTTACCTAAAAAATTGTTTAAATTTTTTTAACATCATCAATATATACTTTTTGGCTTTTTGCTTAATAATTTTATTTGATTTATAAATTTTTTTACTTAATGATACCAAATGTAATTCAAAAGTCAAATAAATCAGACATAAAGTGATTTGGTATTACTAAATATTAATCTTTCTAAAATATTCAGAACTGAAATCATTGTCCTTTTGTCCTTTTGTCATTAGAAGTAGCGAAAACGGATACTTATTTTTTAGGGACCCACATTAAGAGCCGTAACATGGTACTCATCAGCCGCGTCCCTAATTCCCTATTCTTTACGTCGTCAGGGTTATCGTCATAACTCACAAGTGATTTCATTTGAAATTGAATTTTCTCACTTCACTTCATATGAGATTATATGACATAGAGGTGGTAAAATGAGTAAATTGTCCGCTCCATTTCATCTCTAACTCGCCTTAAAATAATTTAATTCTCCAGTCCAGTAAGCCTATCAACATATTAAAAATATGGAATTTTTTTTTTTGAAAAATATACTCTCCATATATATAAAAGGTATCCAATGAAAATTAAAGAAGTGTAAAAATATCATTAATTAAAATTTAATTACCCATTTTGATTTGTCTTGATACGAGAAATGAGTTGGTAGGTTAAAAATCTCAACCCAACCATCATTTATAGATTAGGTTAAATGAGCCACCTTTGTCAGTTCTATATAAGAGGTATTACTCATTCAAAACCCATTTTTTCCGTAACCATTAGTTTATCAGAAAAATATATATGTCATTTTTAAATGATACAAGTTATATTATTTCATAGATATAAAAAAGATAAGATTCACACTTTTATTTTTTTTTTCAGTGAAATCCTACCTCTTTATATTTATAAAATGATATAACTTATGTCATTTAAAATAATATATATATATATATATATATATATATATATATATATATATATATATATTTTGGTACATTGTCAGGGCACCATGCCCTCGGGGTACGGCCCGTTTGGGCTAGCCCCTCATTGTAACAGTGGGTGCACTAAGCTTCGCAACCGGAGAAAGGACGAGACTAATCCCCCAACCGAAGATTTTTGGCTTATCCTCTGGCCCCCAAAGATTTTCCAAGAAACTGCTTGAGGCAGGATTTGATCCCTGCACCAAGCAATCCCTTGGGAGCTCAGCTGCCAACTGAGCTACCCTTGGGGGTTTAATATATATTTTTTAACATCAACCAAAGTGTCACTATTTGGCAAATTTTTTACCAAAATGTCACGCTAATAATACTTTTTACCATACTGCCACACGTAGAAGTTTATTACGACTGGTAGCGAATTTCGTCACCAATGATTTTGTGACACGTGACATACTCTAGCAGAAAAAGCTGACTAAACAAAGTTCATTATTAGCGGTAGAGAACTTGGTACGCTATTTGGCACACGAATAATGTCATGTGTTACGAAATCATAAGCGACAAAGTTCGCTACCAGTCACAGCAAACTTCGACAAATGATAGTATGATAAATAATACTGTTCAAGTGTTATTTGGATAAAAAATTTGGTCAAACAATTACACTTTCGCCACTATTCCCATTTTTTCCTTAGTTTATTTATGAGTAATTAATATTCTCTAGGATAAACTCAGAATCCATTCGAATTTGGTTTACATTATTGTGGTCATTATTACCCACTCGCAAAATGTTCACATACAAGCCAAAATTATACCAGTTGGACGGCATAGTAACCACACATGCTATATTACATTAAATTTAAAATATTAAACAACAAATTCTAAATAGTTACAGACTCTGATCCCATGCTTTCCCATCACATGGTTCATGTTTTTGCCAAATGGTTCGGTTCTATTATACATGACCTCAAGTGATTGGTCACTGTCAAACGATCAATTTTATATAACGAGTCCCGGTCCAACTCATCAACCCCTCTTTTTATCTGCATTGCTTTTCCTTCCATCATGTAGAAAAGCATAGCCTTTTGTAGAGTCGCACGCAGCCCCACCCACACGCCAAACACTCGAAAATGGAGGGAGAGCTAAAGCAGAAGCTGCTGAGCACAGAGAAAACATCATCACAGGAAGAAGCAGAGGAATTGACGTTGGTGAAGAAGGTGTGGAACGAGAGCAAGTTGATGTGGGTAGTGGCAGCACCAGCCATATTCACAAGATTCTCGACCTTTGGCATCAATGTTATTAGTCAAGCATTTGTGGGTCATATTGGATCAAGGGAACTCGCTGCTTTTGCTCTTGTTTTCACTGTTCTCATAAGGTTCGCCAATGGTATTCTGGTATGTTTCTCCATAAAAAAATCCCTTTTTTTTATTTCTTTTTTTAATATTATTCATACTAATCAGGTAGGAATATATAAGCGCCGAACATCTTCCTATCAGGTTTTAATACAGTTGCAAAGTAAACTCGAACTGAGACCACTGCTTAAGCTAAAACAATCCCTCGCAGTTGATCTACATTCTTGCTACTTTTTTTTTTTTTTTCTAAACAAGAAGTTCTGTATTTTTTTATCCCAAAACCTTTTAATTATTTGAATCGATTATGGGACTAACCCGAGTGCCGGATGAGTCTGGAATTAAGATCTTATGTTTCTCCTGAAGGTGATATTCCGAAATTAAGATCTTATATAATATTAGTGGAGATTGAATCGAGATTTTTTTACCACCTATTCACTAGTTTGTATGCACCAACTGAACTGCCATCGTTAGGTGTTCCTTATTCTGACTCGTAGAAACAGAGACCACTTTTTCTATTTCATCAATTAATATTTTTTTTATGGGCTAGTTAGAATAGAATGTATTGGTGTTATAGTAGTGATTCTAGTGATTAGTTAAAACGAGGTGGGGTTGTAAGAGAAACATATGCTTTAAAGATTTTTTAATGAGAATAAAGAAAATGTTGCATTTTGTGAACATCTGCTACCGTAGCATTCGTAATTATGTTATTGTGTGTGGTTGACTGGTTGTTGGGGGGGGGGTACGCTTTTATGTATATATTTTTATTTAACCTGTATATGGTTACAAGCATAATATATTCGATGAAAATGTATTGGTGTCGCATTGCAATTGTAATTACAATGTAATGTTATCATAAGAAACCGAATTAATTGTGTTTGTAAATTGACAACTGCAGTTAGGAATGGCCAGTGCGTTGTCAACACTTTGTGGACAAGCTTATGGTGCAAAAGAATATGGCATGATGGGAGTGTATCTTCAAAGATCATGGATAGTTTTATTCGTAACTGCACTCTTCCTTCTTCCGGTGTTCCTCTTCACAAGCCCAATTTTGATGATCTTAGGCCAAGAAGAAAGCATAGCACAAGTGGCAGGATACATATCTCTTTGGTCAATTCCAGTCATGTTTGCATTTATTGTCTCATTCACTTGCCAGACATTCCTTCAATCTCAAAGCAAGAACATCATTATTGCATTCTTGGCAGCTTTCTCAATAATTATTCATGTATTCCTCTCCTGGCTTTTGACAATAAAATTCAAGCTTGGGCTTGCCGGTGCAATGATTTCAACAAGTTTGGCATACTGGATTCCCAACATTGGTCAACTTATATTTGTTACATGTGGTTGGTGCCCTGAAACTTGGAAAGGTTTCTCATTTTTAGCATTCAAAGACCTCTGGCCTGTTGTCAAGCTTTCCCTTTCAGCTGGTGCCATGTTGTGGTGAGCTCTCTTCTCTATCAACTAGTGGGATATGTTCTTTGCAAATGCAATGATTGCTGAACAGACTTCAATCTCCTTTTTCAATGGAATAGATATATAACAAAGTTTTGATTATCTACGTTACTGTTTTGTTATTTATTGGAAACAAAAAATTTCCTAACTTGAAGCTGTGGTATATTTTACAGTCTTGAGCTCTGGTACAACACAATATTGGTTCTTTTGACAGGTAACATGGAAAATGCGGAAGTTGAAATTGATGCTCTATCTATATGGTAATCCTTCTACCCTGTAACATTTTTTTTTTTATTATAATGTATATGTTGTGTTTCTATTATATGTTTTTGGTTGATTATGCTTAATGCATAACAGACTTTCTCTCTTCAGCCTGCTAAAGATCAAAATTTTATTATTTACAGTCTCAACATCAATGGATGGGAAATGATGATATCACTCGGCTTCATGGCTGCAGCAAGGTAATGACATTGTTCTCTTTTCTATCATTAATGGAGTCATTGATTTTGTCACCAACCATCCATTTTTATTTTATTTTTTGGTTTATTTATTGTATGCTGAAAATTGTGTTTTACTTCATTTGCAGCGTTCGAGTAGCAAATGAGCTTGGAAAAGGAAGTGCCAAAGCTGCAAAGTTCTCTATTATTGTGACAGTGCTTACATCATTGGCCATTGGATTCCTTCTGTTTCTATTTTTCTTATTTTTTAGAGAAAGACTGGCTTATGTGTTTACCTCAAATAAAGACGTGGCCGCAGCTGTTGGGGATTTGTCACCTTTGTTATCATTCTCCATACTACTAAACAGTGTTCAACCTGTACTCTCAGGTATTATTTTCACACAAAATTTCTTTGTGAATTAATTTAATGAATTGGTTTAAGATTTGAATCCTGATTGTTTTTACATAACGAGAGCGCATTAGTCTGTCAAATTGTCAGTGCAGTATCATACAACAGTTATACATTGAATTTGTCATTTTCCAATATATATCTATATATACACATGTGAAAGAATATGAAAGACAAGGAAATTATGTGATTTCAACAGGAGTAGCTATTGGAGCAGGCTGGCAAAGCATTGTAGCATATGTCAACATAGGGTGTTATTACATAATTGGTATTCCTGTTGGAATTGTACTTGGTAAAGTTATTCAGTGGCAAGTCAAGGTTAGTCTCTTCTTGTTTTTAAATTGCACTTCATCTTTATTCTGTTTTATCTATTGAACAAACTTTTTCTACTTCCATAGGGAATCTGGATTGGAATGTTGTTTGGTACGTTGATTCAAACTATAGTTCTAACTATAATCACCTACAAAACTGATTGGGACAAGCAGGTATTTTATTTATTTACCCTTCTTCAGATTGGTTCTAGTTACTACATTCCATTGCGAGTACATTATAATTATAGGTTAAACATGATGAAATTATTCTGTGCAGGTTACCATAGCTCGTAATCGGATTAACAGGTGGTCCAAAGTGGACAGTACTGATCAAGAAACAGAACCAAATAGATCAGATAATTAGTTCCAGTGTCATCATTTGTATCCTGTGCTGTTATACAGCAAAGATGTTGATAGATAGCAATTGTATGTTATTTACTACGTAAATCTTTAATTAAAACTAGTTGACTACTTATAATTTCACTTGAGTTTTCAAATACGGCTCATAGCTGATAGGTTAATGGATGTTTACAGTCACTTACAAGCCATTCTGTACTGTTGTTAATTGAAGTTTCAAAGACTTGCGTATAAAATTTTACACGTAATAATGACATGGTTATAAACCTAACTAGGCTATGAGAACCTATTCAACTTTTTAAGAAATTGATCTATCCTCTCAAGTCTCAACAACAAAAATAAAGAAATAAAAATGGAAAGCCTACCTCAAATTTTGTCCTTCACGTAATCCATGTATTAAGATAATCAAATCTGAATCTGGTCCCACTAGTCTGTTTCATAATATTTCATGTTTCTTTCACCACGCGAATTAGATTTAACTTCAAAAACTTCCCAATCAAAATGCTATACGTATGCGAGGTTGGCAAGCATAAACCATCATCTTTCATCTTCTTAAACAATTTCAAAGCATTGTCTTGTCTGCATCCTTTCTTCCTCTATATTCCTTAAACAAATCAATGGTTGGAACTTATGCAATCAACTAATTGTAAGTGCATCCTTTCTTCCTCTAAATTTCAAAGCATTGTCTTGTCAGCATCCTTTCCTCCCACTAAAAGTTGTGATGGACACTAAAAATAATTTAAGGAGTAAAAGTTGTCTTCATCACTTTAGAGCTTGGGAATAAGGACTAAAAATATCCTGCCACAATGTAAATTTTAAAAGATTTAGTAGATTACCACCAAATATAAAATTTTGGAGGTTATGGTTAAAAGAGCTCCGCGATCCACTGGGAAGAAAGCTGTGAACCTGTTTTTTTTTTTTTTTCATCTTCTGGTTCATCGTTTCCAACTTCTAATTGATTCAATTCTCAAACTCAATAATGCTAACCAATAAATATATATATTTTTTCAATGTATAGTTCTTTATTAATATTTTGTTATATTATTATGGAAAATGTTATATTTATAAATTTTTTATTTATAAACTATACTAAGTATGACTAGTTATATTTTGATTAAGAGTATACGACAAGTCATACTTAATGTAATTTGTAAAAAAAGTTTTTTAACATATCGTTCCCTATTATTATTGTAAAGAATATAATTAATAATAATTTTAAGTCTCGTCAAACACGTGGGATCAGTGTTTTAAAAGTGGGCCGGGTACCAATAATAGGCTTTGGAAAAACAAGGGGAAAAAGCAAGTAATGATTACGTAAATATCGTGGGAAACTAAATTTAGGCAAAAATTTGACTAAGAATATTGACTTAATTTTATCGATTCTATGTCAAATATCATTATAAATGTAAATTTTTTTTAATACCCGGAATTTCAAAAATACCACTCTGCTAGTGGTATTTTTGAATATTATTTTGCTATATAATTTTTTCACAAATCAAAATTTAAAAAAAAATCAAATTTCAGATAAAATTTTCAAAAATGTTTTATCAAATATGGATGAATAAAATTCTCAATATCGATTTTTTAAAAATTAAAAAAAATTCATATACCAAACGCCTAGTAAAAAGTGGAAAATAAACACTCGCAACATATTTAAACAGTAAATAAGCACATAAATCAAAGATGAAAAAGTAAAACCAGAATCTGGTCTGAAGTCTGAAGTACACGAGTGTAATCCCATCCGCGAAAAAAGAAAAAAAGAAAGATGAAATAACAAATATATAACAATGAGTCGCTGATAGGGATGTAAATGGGTCAGGTTGGGCCGGGCTTTGGCCTTCCTGGCCTAAGCCTACATAAACAAATATTTAGTCTATCTGATCTATTGACCTACTAAAGGTTTTATTTATAGAGCAAGTCTGACCTATTTTAAAAAATTAAAGAACCTTATATGGCCTGCAGACCTTGTAAGCCTCTCTAGTGATATATTTTTAAATATTTTTGAAAATAATTAAAAATATTTTTAACATTTTTTAAAATATTCGCTTGACATTACAAGTCATTAACGTGCTCATAAATTGCTGCAATTTTTTACACGAAATATAAATTTTACTAGTGAACATTAAAAACGACGAAGCTCAGAAAAGAGAGAAGGAGTATTGCACAAAATAATTTAGGGTTGGTACTGATTACCACCTAAAATAAATATATTATATTATTTTAAAAAATTAAATAGGCAAGCTTACAAGACTTTAGGCCAGGCTTGATAAAATTGACATATTGCCTACTTGTTAAAAAGACTTTCTTATTAGCCTAAATCTATTTTACCTTTCAACGTAGGTCGAGCTAGACCAGGTTCAATGTAGGATAGACTGTAAGTTAGGCCAGGCCAGCCTGACCTATTTACTAGTCGCTGGGTATTTGGATAACATAAACAAACACAAAGCCCTCCCTACTCCTTCACAATAAGATGACAGCAGCCAAAGCATGAATAAAGAAGACAGCAACCAATTAAAAATTGCTTTCAATAGCAAGCTTATAACCAATTGGCATCATAGCAACCATATATTAAGTTAGAAATTAACATGCAATCCTGAGAATCAAACACAGCCTATTCAATCGGAACACTTTTCATCAAGATAAGTTATACTCTTATGAATTCCATTTCAAAAAGTCAAAAATATAATAACTTATACTTTTATGATTTCCATTTCAAGATGAAGTTAAAGTGTTAGCACACTTTCCATCTATAGCAAACAAAAAAGGGAATGCAAGAATCCTTATAACTAGTTCTCAATTTACAGTAGTGTTACCATCAACACTGCCAGTAGAACTGATAATCCAATTCAAAAGGTGCTTCTTCCCGCCAACAGTTGATTTTTTTCATATTTTTTTTTCCGACACCATTACATCCTTGGATGGCAGAGCGTGGATGACTCTCGATGATATAATTAGAGTCCGCAAATCGAGCTCGGCTCGATGGGTCAATCCGCCCCATCAACTAAATAAAACAGGGTGAGTTGAGTTTTTCAACTCATCTCAAAAACGGAGCAAGGTAGGGCAGACTCTTTTTTGCAGGTTGATGGTAGGCATAGGCGAGCTGAGGCTGATCAGTGTAAAATAGAATTGGGCTGGCGGGCCAACCCGCCAAACAGAACTGAGCAGGCAGAGTTTTTCAGCCCAATTTCAAAAGCAGAGCAAGATGAGTTGACTCATTTTTTGGCGACGGACCGCGTACTTTGCCACCTTTAGATATAATATACAATAATTAATAAATTTGTAATTTACAATTTTCATTAAACTAATAAAAATTATGCTTATTATTATCATATTATATATGAGTTTGGTGTTTGCCATTTTAAATGACATAAGTTATGTCAGTTTAGAAGAGAGATAGACACAGAAAAACGGAAATCATGGGAGAGAGAAAGTGGGTGATTTTTTTTAATTTAAAATTTAAATTTTCTGTGTCTGTATCTCTCTTAAAATGACATAACTTTCTGTCATTTAAAATGACAAACACTTTTCCCATTATATATATACACAAATTATAAAATAATAAAAAATTAAATTCGAAAAAAAAAAACAAAAACGAATGACTTTGAAAAATAAGTATTTGTTACTTCTAAAAGTATTTTTCTAAAAAAAAATATTTTAGTATTTTTTTTATTTGGATGTAATTTAAACGACACTTTAAAGTATAAAATTCAAAACAGTTTCCTATACATAAAATTATTAAAAAAATGTGTAAAAATTGCACCTGATTGCACATTTTAATTTTATTAGTGTGCTCATATTTCAAACAGCATTGGACAAACTTGTTTATTCTTCTGTAGGGTATCTGGATTGGAATGTTGATTGGAACACTTATTCAAACTATATTGCTAATCATAATCACCTGCAAAAGTAATTGGGACGGGCAGGTAAGATTAATAGTCCAATAAAAACTATATTAACATCAACCCAAATTATAATTAAATACAAAGCTTGATGAAATCATTATGCATGTGACTGTGCAGGTAACTATAGCTCGTAATGGGATTAACATTTGGTCTGAGGTGGACCCTAATCATGAAACAATTACATTAGATAATTAGTTACAGGCCCCTTTCTATTTATTGTGACATTTTGCTTTGCTGGTGTTATCCAGCTCCAGCCAAGAGCGGGTTGATTGATAGCTATAATATGATTATTTATTAATTTTGAATCTTAAAATTAAATTAAATAAGTTTTATTCGTGTTGCAAAATCCAGTGGGCAAGAAAAGATTGGCCAAGAAGTATAGAACACTTATCAAAATATCATATTTTGTGAAATTTTTTATTCAAATATCACGTGAACAATATTTTTTATCAGACGTCATAATTCAATACTACTGGTAGCGAATTTTGTGGTCAATAATTTCGTGACACGTGATCATATTGCAGCCCAAATTCGCTATCGCTGGTAGCAAATTATGACACATCAGTTTTTTCTTATAAAAGTGTGCCACGTGTCATAAAATTATTGACGAACATAATTTAATATCAGTCATAGTGAATTATATTTACGTGGCAGTCTAGTAAAAAGTATTATTCACGTTATATTTGAATAAATTTTTTGTCAAAAAAATAATATTTTGGTAACTGTTCCAAATACGGAACAGCAATTATATACAGAATTGACTGTGGGCACTAAACCAAAGATATTCTTTTGTTTCCTGCTCAATATGAAGCTGTTGCATTCAGCGTCATTGTGACCATGGTTCCGAAAAATACTTATGTACATTATATTTATATAAGCTGGGTTAAATTGATAAACAATTAACGTATTATTGTCTAGTACAAAAATTTCTGTAATTATTTATTTAAAATGATAATATATTAGTTAATGAATGGTTTTGTATTGCCAAGTTAATAATATCCAATATTATAGCATTACTACAATATTGACTTGCAATAGAAACTCATAGCCAATTAAATGCTCTAATATCAAAATCATCTCAAATATAAATACTTAATATATTTAACATTCAAAACATAGAAAGATAAGATTCATACAATTATATTATGCATATGAAGGAATTATATAACATATGAAGCACCAAATCATATAAGAAAAGCTCCTCCTGCATGTAAGTCTCATTCAGCTCTCTCCACAAATCTCTCTCCACAAATCTCTCTATATTCGTTCAAAGGATTCATTTCCCTCAAACACTTCTTGAACACCATACTTGCCTCCTTCCAGTGTTGATTATTTGTAACTATTTTCAGTTGTAAATTCATTGTCACGGGGCTTTTTTTTTAAAAGTAAATACCATTTTGGATCCCTAACAAAAAAATATGTCCCTTACTTTAGTTCTTTGCAAAATAAAAATAAAAAATAGTATCAAGGTCCTTAAGAAATTTAAAATGGACCCATTTAGTTGAAATCATCCCTCACAAATTCAAAAAAGACTCACATTAATCTCTCAAAAAGACTAAAATTAGTCCACTTTGAATTTCTTAATAACCTCGAGACTAATTTATTTTTATGAGTGATTAAAATGAAGACTGTATTTTTTGTCAGGGACCAAAAATGTATTTACTTTTTTTTTTCCTACAGCATTTTATATCTCCTTGACAGTTTAGGGGAACAAATTAAATAAGTAGGACGATTGGAGGCACACCAATAATTTTAAACTCAACTACACTTATAAACTGTAGTCATCCGACCATTTTAAGATTTATTGTGTTAGAGATATATAAAATCATTAATATAGCTTTATCCACCAACTTAAGCTTGTGATTTGAATTGATTCTTTATGTACATATTAAACCCAGCCTAAAGGAAACCACAGGTAAACGGGGTCGTTTTAATTATTCCTTATCGAAAGCTAGAAAAAGTTCAAGTATCCACGTAAGAGCATACTAACCATTGACTTATGACAAACAATTCATTTAATACAAAACATATAAGGCCTTTTTGTAAAAAAAAATTATTGTATATTGCCTTTTTGTAATCTTTATTACGTTGACTGAACAACATTAGATAAAAAGATTATAATTTTATTAAAATAGATCACTTGATAAAACTATCATATATAAAGCAAGTTACTTCAAATATCGTAAAAAATAAAAATTAATACCGTGGGAGGTGAGGCGGAACTGACAAGGGAAAATTTGAATTTCAACTGATATCGCAGGGGTGGATGTGCGGGATTAGTTAACCGGAAAAAAAAATAAAAAAATAAAATAAAAAAAATAAAAAAGATGTATACCGATTAGAGAGAGGTTGTACTTACGATCGTGTGATCTCACTGGTTCAAGGAAATTAGTCATTGACTTTCGGCGAAAAATACTCTTAGAACAATTTTCAAATTTTTTTTTTCATAAATACAAGAAAAACAAATACTAGATAGGGAAATAAAAAGGTTAAAAAAATTCCAATTTGGTCAAAGAGGCCCAAAATGGGCTCTTTCACCCATTAGGGGTTTTTATTTCTTTAATTTATTTTGCTTCAAGGTATTTATGAACGGAGGTTAGGGGACCAGCGTCACTGAGTGCCGCTACTATCCCCTCGCGTCACTCTCAATTTTTTAGTTTTTATTTTACTTTTTTTTATTGAGTGCCGAACTCCTCCCCTGGGGCACTCACAGAATTGTGCCAAGTGGCACAATCTGGTTACTCCTATTATCGTAAAACTTCGGAAAGTCATTACTTTTGACTCGGGTATCCAAATCAGATGATTTTTTTTTTATTTCACATGAATTTTCGAGATCTACGCAATGACACCTCATTTGATATATTTTATCTTCCATTAATATAGTTCAAATTTACAACACTAATTACACTTATTTTACAGATTTGAATTATGTTTGTGAGAGATAAAATATGTCAAATGAGATGTCATTGCGTATATCTCGAAAAGTTATGTGAAATAAAAAAAAAATCATCTGATTTGGATACCCGAGTTAAAAGTTATGGCTTTCCGAAATTTTACGATAATAAGAGTAACCAGATTGTGCCATTTGGCACAATTTTGTGAGTGCCCCAGAGGAGGGGGCGGCACTCAATAGAAAAAGTAAAAATAAAAAATAAAAAAGTGAGAATGACGCGAGGGGATGGTAGCGGCACTCAGTGACGCTGGATCTCTCTTGCGGTACTAAATGACCTCATTCATAAATACCTTCAACTAAATACCAAATTGATAAATTAAAATCACAAAAAACCCCAATTGATCAAAGAGCCCCCAGAATGTGCTACAAGAGGTTTGAACTCTAGTAGGTGAGAAGTTATACCACTCAATTTCAACATAATTACTCTGATATAACTCTCCCGTACTTGAATATTTCTCCAACTGTTTCTTTCCTTTTTTGCTGAATTAAACAACCACGTAATTGCCTATGGCCATTGTCTTAAGCTAGGACCACAACAACGACAACTACTAATCGTGTTTCCGAAAAACTATGTTTCATCTTGAGTTTCCTTCTCGTTCCCTTATATCATGTATGAGCCCACATTGGTCAGGGACTTGCAACAGACAAAGTTTTACTATAATTAAGGCTTACAGTCTATACACATAATGGTATTCTGGTATGGTCCCCCCAATTTTTTATGTTAACAACTGTAAAGAATCCATTCATCCACAAAAACTTGAGTTGGTTGGAGATATTATATTGATGATTTTATATATCTTTAATATCTTCACATAAGAGTCCACTAGACTTAAAGGATAGACAATATATATAAGTATGTACTTGCACTAAGAAATTTCACAAGAGAAAGTGGAGGCAGAAAGGATTGAACTCGTGACACCAAGATCACTGAAGCTCTGATATCATGAAAAGAACTACTTGAGTGATCAGGAGGTCATGAATTCGATTCCACTACCCCTACTTTCAAGTGAAATTAAAAAAAATACAAGACAGACAAAAACAATGGAAAGACTTTTACGTGAGAGATATAAAATAATTAATTAAACTCATCCAATACTTTAAGATTGAAGTTACGCTTATCAATAATTTTATTAGATTGTAATAGATTTCCAAAATTGTAATCGGTACAATACATTACCATTGTGCTATGTGTGAAACCAGTATTATTAAATTCGGCTTGTCATGTTCGTCAAGTGATAAAATTTAAAGCCAATCATGTGATAAAATTTGCATCAGCCTTACTATTACTCGTGTTACTTTGCTTTTTTTTTAAGGCGTTTGGGATGCCGGTTTCTTTAAGAATTCTGGAAAACTGAATTTTTTTAAATTTTAAATTTATGGATATTATCATAAACTGAATGTAAAAATTATATTTTTGAAAATTGAGATTTCCGGCTAATTTTTTTTTTCTCCTGTACCAAACGCCTCCGTTAAATTACTTGTCCGGTAATTTTAAATAAATTTTTTGTAGTTTATGTAAATTTTCCATTCGGTAATCATTAAATATAATCTTTTATAAAAAAAGTACTTGATACAAAATGACTAGCACAGAATGGTAAACATCCATCAAAAGATTCTAAAGGACCCTTAGCTAAAAGAAACTTATTTAAAAAATTTAGAAACTTAGGAACCAGTGAAAAACCTAAATTACATGGGCTTATCCAAAAATTCGGTGAAAGTATAAGGTCTTAAAAAAAATAAACTTTTTCTCTTTCTATACAATGACTCGAAAAATAGAGACACATGCTCTATTTCATTGATGAATAAATTAAAAAATTTCTCACTATATATATGTATATATATTTTTTGATTCACTTGTATCTATTAGTGTTGTTCTGACTAGCCTAATTAGCTGGCCCAACAAGGATAATCTAGTATCAATACCAAGCCACTTCAGCTCTATCATCTCTGCCACATCACTGCTTCCGTTTGTGTTAATGTTGGACATCCCAACGTAAGACACCAAAATTTCTTACGTTGACTCTCCCATCTTTATTGCCACCTCAACATCTAAAATACATCCATTGAAACTCCTACCTCACTCTCCCCCTACATAGCAGTCGGAAAGTGCTTTGCCCTCTGCAAGGCCAGGCTATATTAGCTTTTTCCATAACGGTTGACTTCTTCCTCTTCCTCTCCCTCTCCCTCATAAGACCTGTAAATATCTCTTCAGTCAGCATTATGAAAGGACACGATATCTCTATTGTATGAGTTGTTACCGTGTTAACTTGAAGAGCCATTGTAGCCACTAGCACCACCCCCATTGATATACACTACACATGAGACCCCTTATTCAATCTTAGTTCATATTATTATTGTCTAAGGAACCCCTATATTAATTATCACACCCTTTGAGATTACATATGTGGCTCTCATACCACACTAACAGTTCATGTGTTATATTAGTGATTTTAGTCCTTAGTCAATCTGGTGTTGTAAGAAAAGCAAACACATAAAAAATTGTAATGGGATCAAAACAGATGAAAATGTTGAGGCTTGTGAACATATGCTATCACAATGTTGAAAATTGTTACTTTGTGGTGGCGTGTACCTTTCTTCACATACATACGACTACAAATACAATTTATTCAATGAAAAAGTAATTACGATATAATGCTATGATAATAACCCAAATTATTTGTGTCTTTAAAACAACTCTAGTTAGGAATGTCAAGTGCATTGGCAACACTTTGTGGACAAGCTTATGGTGCAAAAGAATATGGCAAGATGGGAGTGTATCTTCAAAGATCATGGATAGTTTTATTCTTAACTGCACTCCTCCTTCTTCCGGTGTTCATCTTCGCAAGCCCAATTTTGACGATGTTAGGCCAAGAAGAAAGCATAGCACAAGTTGCAGGAAACATATCTCTTTGGTCAATTCCAGTCATAATTGCTTTTATTGTCTCATTCACTTGCCAAAACTTCCTTCAATCTCAGAGCAAGAACATCATTATTTCATTCTTGGCAGCTTTCTCAATAATTATTCATGTTCTCTTCTCCTGGCTTTTGACAATGAAATTCAAGCTTGGGATTGCTGGTGTAATGACATCAACAATTTTGGCATACTGGATTCCCAACATTGGTCAAATTATATTTATTACACGTGGTTGGTGCCCTGAAACATGGAAAGGTTTCTCATTTTTAGCGTTCAAAGATCTTTGGCCTGTTGTCAGGCTTTCCCTTTCATCTGGTGTCATGTTGTGGTGAGCTTTCTTCTCAATCAACTAGTGGGTTGAGTTTTTAAGAAATGCTATAATTGCTAAATAAATTTGGATTTTCTCTTGATTGGTTTAAAAGAAAAAGTTTTGATTATCTAGGTTTCTGTTCTGTTATTTATCTCAAACAAAAAATGTTCATAAACAGATGTATGCCTTCTTAACAAAAATGTATGTTTTACTTACAGCCTTGAGTTCTGGTACAACACAATATTGGTTCTTTTAACTGGCAACATGAAAAATGCGGAGGTTCAAATTGATGCTCTATCTATATGGTATTGTCACTTTCAGTTTTAGAATTTATATATTGTGTCTCGACTTTATATTGTTTGTTGGATTCGCCTGGTGTATAGTAGAATTTTATGATGCCCTGCTTAAGATCAAATTTCATTCTTTTTACAATCTCAACATCAATGGATGGGAAATGATGATATCATTTGGTTTCATGGCTGCTGCTAGGTAATGGCATTCTTTTAATTTCTATTGTTGTTATAGTCATTTTTTTTTCATCATATGCAAAATAACAGTTTTAAATCACACACAGCACATATATATCAATTTAAGAAATTTTTCATGTGTTGTTCATTTACCAAGGAATATTAACTTTACCTTTCATAATGTGCATTGTTCGAGTGGCAAATGAGCTTGGAAAAGGAAGCTCCAAAGCTGTAAAGTTCTCTATTGCAGTGACAGTGCTTACATCATTCACCATTGGCTTCATTCTGTTTTTGTTTTTCTTATTTTTTAGGGAAAGACTTGCTTATGTATTTACCTCAAATGAAGACGTGGCCGTTGCTGTTGGAGATTTGTCACCTTTGTTGGCAGTCTCTATACTACTAAACAGTGTTCAACCTGTTCTCTCAGGTATTCTTTACAACATTTCTTCTCTTTGTGTTGGTTTAACGAATTTGTTTAAGATTTGAATCCTGATTGTTTTTGCATGAAAAAAGCAAATCAATCCATAAATGATGTATACTTACAACCGTTATACCCAAAAATGAAGGAAATGGACAAAAAACAAAGGATTCTGTTAATCTCGTGTTGGTGGAGAGAAGTTATCTCCAACTGACACATATTTTTTACAATATGGAGCTGTATCTGAAAAGCATGTGACTGGAACATTGAATATATATATACAGGGACAGGATATACTGGTGTAAGAGTTAGAAGTCTTACACTCAATCTTGATGATTGATTTACTTGTACCAATGACTCACATAACTAAAAATTTTGAGCATTTAGATAAAAGTGGAATTAACGGACAAGATTAAAAGTGTAACTTAGACGGGTGTAAAATGATCCTGACCCAAATATATATATGGGATAGGATCAGTTTACAAACTTTTTTTGCAAATTACACTAAGTACGACCGGTCGTACACTGTATGATTAAAGTATGACCGGTCGTACTTAGTGTAATTTGTAAAAAAAAAATTTATAAATATAACCTGCCCATATATATATATATATATATATATATATATATATATATATATATATAGGGGAGAGATCATTTGACTCCAGAGTAAGATTTAAAAGTCTTACTCTTCATCTCAGCCCTTGATTTCTGTTCATCCAACGGTTATCATTTAATAAGTTATAACAATTAATTAATTATTAATTTCAATTAAATGATAACTATTGGATGAACGGAAATCAAGGGCTGAGATGAGGAGTAAGACTTTTAAATCTTACTCTGGAGTCAAATGATCCCTCCCCATATATATATATATATATATATATATATGTTCTGAAAGAGTATGGAACACATGAAATTGTATGATTTCACCAGGAGTAGCAATCGGAGCAGGCTGGCAAAGCATTGTAGCATATGTGAACATTGGGTGTTATTACGTCATTGGTATTCCTGTAGGTGTTGTACTTGGTAACGTTATCAATTGGCAAGTCAAGTTATGCTTTTAAAGCACTCTTATCTCATGTTCAAATTGAAACTGATTCTGTTTCGTGCATTGGACAAACTTGTTTGTTTTTCTGTAGGGCATCTGGATCGGAATGTTGATTGGAATACTTATTCAAACTATAGTGCTAATAATAATCACCTACAAAACTAATTGGGACGAGCAGGTAGGATTAATGGTCTAATAATTACTAGATTCACTTTACAGCAAATTATAATTATATATAAAACTTGATGAAATCATTATGTGACTGTGCAGGTAACTATAGCTCGTAATCGGATAAACATTTGGTCTGAGGTGGACACTGGTCGTCATGAAACAATTGCACCAGGTAAATTAGTTTAAGGCCCCTTCTTATTTATTGGGTGATTGGGTCCATTTGTTTTGCTGGTGTTATCCAGCCAAGCCAAGAGGTTGATTGATGGCTCTATATATTAATCATATATCTTCAAATTATAGTATTGTACTTCATGTCTTCATGTTTTCTTTTTTCACTGCCGAAGGTATAAATAAGTTTCATTCATGTTGTATCAACCGGTGGGCAATAAAAGAAGGATTTAATATTTCTTATATTGCAAGAAATAAAATTATTTCTTACATAAATGTAAGAGTATGTGAGATTTGTATGAGATTATGTAAAGAGAAAAGATAAAAAAAACTCATACAAATTTATGTATGTGTGATAAATAAAATCATTTTCTACAATATAAAATATATTAAACTCAAAAAAAAAAAAAGGTAGGACGTTGTTAATAATATACAGAACTGACAGCTGGGCGCTAAATCAAAGATATTCTCTGCACCCAAAATAAAAAAATCTCAGAAACTGTTTCCTGCTCAATATAAAAGGTAGGAAAAAATGTTTTTCCTTTTAAATGACACAACTTATATTCTTTCACTCTCACAAAGAGGTGAGACTCACATCTTTATTTTTTTGTCAATTCTCTCTCTTTCTTTATTTATCTCTTTCTCTCTCTTAAAATGACACAATTTTACCTCTTTTAAAATGACACATACTTTACCCATAAAGCTATTGCACTCAGCATCTCGTGACCAATAGCTTTATCACGACCATTGATTTAATTTTCATCTAATAATATATAAAATAACTAAAAAAAATTATAAGTATAACTTTTTTTAGAAAGTCTGCAAAAAAAAAAAAACCAAAAAACTAAATTGAACTGTGAATTAGACCGAACTGTACTTAAAAAAAATTAGTTTTTAAAAACCAATTCGTAAAGTGAATTTATTTATGAACCAATCTGATTTAAAAAACCATGAACCGTATTGTTTTTCTTATTTTTTTTATTTATCTTTATTTTTATTGCTTTATTTCTTTAGTTTTTTATTTTCATGTTTCTCTTCTTCTTTTTTTCTCTTATTTTTTTTCTCTCTCTTACTTTTACTTTATTTTATTTTTTAATTGTTTATTGCTTTTTTTTTTCAAATTTATGGTATTATTTATATTTTTAATTATTTTCTCAATGTTTTTTTACATTTAATTTGTGTTTAGAATTAGTTCAAAAATGAATTTTAGAGGAGCAAAAGAACCAGAAAAGACACTACACTAAAAAAACTAAATTTTAAAAATCAGTTCGTGAAATGAACTGTTTTTAGAAACTAGTTCTTGAACTGAAAATTAATTCATGAACCAAATTAAATTTTTTCTCTTCTTTTCATTTATTTTTCTTTTCCCCTCTCTATTTCCATTCTCATATTTATTGTCTTATTTTTATTTCTTTTTTCTTTTTTTTTCTTATGTATTTTTTATTTTTTATTTTTATTTTTTTAATTTTTATTTTTATTTTTATATTTTATTTATTTTTAATTTTCATTATCATTTATATTTTTTTAATTTTTTTTTTCCTTCAATCTTTTTATAATTTTTATTTGGATTTAGAATTGATTTTAAAAATTAATTATGAACTGATTTAAAACCAATTCAGAACTGATTCCGAATTAAATCAAACTGGTTATAAATCAATAACTGAATTAATAAATCAATTAGTTCCTAGAACTGGATTGTTTTTTTCCAATTTCATTTGATTGGCAAAAAAGTTGAGATATGGATAATATTCCATAACAATATGCATGTATATGGAAAACCCTTGTAGGGAGTAAGTATGTATGTTTTAATGAGTCAAATGAGTCGAGTTATTAATCGTGATTCTCAAGGGATTTTCCTTAAATTTTTCTATAATTGAAGGTGATTTATTGCATATTAACCTAATTAGTTAATTAAATATATTATTTAAATTTTAAATTCTTGTAATTTCTAATAATAATAATAAATGAAAATCAGTATATAAGACTTAAAAACTTGTATAAGCTAGAATCGGATTAGTCAATATTCCTCGTGTAAGCTAGATTCAACTAATAATGTACTAGTCGAAATTAAATATAACCCCATCCTATGTTGTATAAGACCTCCAGAAGGAAAATAATAATACTGGGTTAGTCAATTTTCATTTGAAATAAAACACCTAATATTGATAAGATAATTAATTTAAAATATAACTGCTGATAAGATAAAATAAAGTAAAAATTTTAAGATAAAATAAATTAAAAATTAATTGAGATACATATAAATTAAATTAATTATGGTAACATAATTTAAATTTTATTAACTTATTATTTACCTGAGTTGATATAGGCCTGCTTTGTCAGCTTTATTCAGCTACCCTCTCTTCGAAGAGACCAATCCAGAGTGAATATTTTTCATATAGGAAATTGAAATTTAAGTGATTCAGCGTCCCACTTAATCAAATAAACTAACGGGGCGTTTGGTACAGGAGAAATTTTTATTTGTCCGAGAATTTCGATTTTCAAAAATATGATTTTTGCATTCAATTTACGATAATATCTGAAAATTTAAAATTTAAAAAAATTCAGTTTTCCGGGAATCTCTCAAAATCCCGCATACCAAACGCCTCCTAAGATATTAAATGCTACTAAATTGTTCACTTTACCTCCTAATAAGTACATTAGAAGAGCATATAGCTTTTTTTTCTTCTTTTTTTGTAATAAGAGCATATAGCTTTTAACTCCTTTACATAAACTTTTAATCTGAACGCTGCACAAAAACCAACAAAATTATTTTTCAGAAATCATTCTCTTTACACCAACTCCATTTCATTTGGTGAAATGTGATTTTAAACTCTATTTCATACGAGCTAGATTCTAATGCGACAAAACACACATATTATAAAGTATCAAAATGTGCACGAATGCATGGCGGTTCAAACAGTCCGTAATGCGTTACTCCCATGGTCTCCAGATTTGTGACTCTGACGAATGACGATAATTAATAGCCGCTGTTGTATTTGCTCTTTTGACTTTGACAGAACAATCCTTCTTTAACAGCCAATTTTTGAGTTCCCAAATCATGAGCACTTCAATCATCCGAATGGTCTTGTTGATTAACTTTTTGACCATGCATGATTGCTTCCTTCTTGGTGAATGCTCAAGTATAATTCCATTTAAGAATACAGTACTTGAGAATGTTCTTTTTTTGTGTGTGTGTATTTGAGAATGTTCTTTCCTTACAACATTTCATGTTGATCACATGAACTAAGTTCCGTCAATCTTTTACATGCTTTTTTCAACTGCGACATTAGACAAACAATATTCTGAGCTGTTCCCATTAGTTCTATAGTTTAAAAGTGTTTAACTGGTATCCCTATATTTCAAAAAAAATTAAATAGTTTAAAAGTTTATAATTATGTCATTACTTATAAAATTTTATACCCAAGTCTTTAAAACATTTCAATTAACAACGACAAAGAAATGGGAACTATTTGAAAACTCAAGTGAAGCTATAAGAAATATGTTCACTTATTTTAATTAAGATTTATGATTAGTAAATGACATATAATTAATTCTTATCTATCAACTATATTGAAGTCATGATTAATTGGTTACATAAGGAAGGAAGTGTATCTTCTCATGTTAAATAAAATATGATAGGATCATGTGAAGGAATCATAATTATATAAAAATGGATCAGTGAAAGAAATTTAATATACTATCGTCGCAATAGTGTTTAGTGTGACGGTCATATTTGCATTATGTATTCCTAGAAATATATAATGTAAATATTAAAGTTACTTTTTTTCTCCCCTCAGAAATTGACGATTTACGTGGAGAGAGAGAAAAAGTAACTTTAATATTTATACTATGTATTCCCAAAATACATAGTGCAAATATGGCCGTCGCACTGAATCCTAAACACTCAGTGCGACAGTGGTATCAAAAATGCTCTCAGATCAATGATGACAATGGAAGAGTGAAAAAATATATATTCAAATAGGTAGTTATAAAATAATCACCGTTGATTTATATTTATATGTTTGTGATTTCTCTATGTAACCATGTCATGTTTTATTTAACATGACTCCATGAGAGGATGGATTTCCGTTAGAGAGGCTCTGATCGTGTAAAAAGAGTCAATTCAACCAAACCAGTTAAGTTAGAGATTAATATTTTTTATGTTATAAGAGATAAATTTTATCTCATACACATACATAAAAGTGTGTGGGATCCACATTTTTTTTATTTTTCTATCTTCTTTTCACACGACTCCACATGATTCTCACACATTTTTCTATGTGTATAGGAGATAAAATTATCTCCTATAACATGATAAACATTAATCCCATATTACATAAATGATTTTATATTAAATTTTCTCAAAAATCAACTTCTTTGCTCTATATATAACAGCATGGGATAAGAATGATGACACTGAAACTAATTAACTGATGTATTTGTTTCTGTTTCTTGATCAGTGCGGTCCACCTTGGACCACCTGTTAACCCGTTTACGAGCTATGGTGACCTGCACAGAATGACTCCATCATGTTAATTGTTAAATATAAATTTTAATGTACTCCAATGGAATGTAGTATTTACAAGCAATTCAAAGAAGGGTAAATAAGTCAAATACCTGCTTGTCCCAATCAGTTTTGTAGGTGATTACAATTAGCACTATAGTTTGAATCAGCGTTCCAAACAACATTCCAATCCAGATTCCCTACAGAAGTAGAAAAAGTTTGTTCAATAGATAAAGCAGCATAAAGATGAAATGCAATTTAAAACATAAAGAGACTATTTAAAAGCCTACCTTGACATTCCAATGAAAAACTTTACCAAGCACAACTCCTACAGGAATACCAATGATGTAATAACAGCCAATGTTCACATATGCGACAATGCTTTGCCACCCTGCTCCAACAGCCACTCCTGTTGAAATCACATAATTTCCTTGTCTTTCATATTCTTTCACACATATATATACATATATATAAACTCTTACAAACTTGCCTATGTACTACTGGGAATAAAAAAATAGAGGAATGTACTTTTAGAAATACATAGATAAATTTGTAAACAAAAAATTTATAAATATAACCTGTCACATTATAGGAAAATGACAATATACATTTTTCTCTCTCTTTACAAATTTCATGCCACAAATTTAAATTTTTTACCAATTCATTAAACCAACACAGATCAAATGCAGCAAAGAATACCTGAGAGTACAGGTTGAACACTGTTTAGTAGTATAGAGACTGCCAACAAAGGTGACAAACCCCTAACTGCAGTGGCCACATCTTTATTTGAGGTGAAAATGTAAGCAAGCCTTTCCCTAAAAAATAAGAAAAATAGAAACAGAAGGAACCCGATGGTAAATGATGTAAGCACCGTCACAACAATTGAGAACTTTGCAGCTCTTGAGCTCCCTCTTCCAAGCTCATTGGACACTCGAACACTGCAATTTAAGATATATATAGTTAATAAATTTTCCACCATAAACAAACACGAGGTGAAAATGGGTGGTTGTTTAATTCTACAGAAACCATTTTCTTTATTAAGCCTTAAGCCCTGGATTCTATCTGATGACCACAAAACTCAAGTGTTCAAGTCTATTGAATAATGAAATTTTACATGGACTATATATATATATATATATATATATATATATATATATATATATATATAATGAGACGTCAATGGATATGAGTGGTTCATAATTTCATAGATGATGAAAAATATATATAATGACAGCATGAAAATCACCTGGCTGCAGCCATGAAGCCAAAAGCTATCATCATTTCCCATCCATTGATGTTGAGGCTGTAATTAATAAATTTTAATATTTAGCTGGCAAATATATTTAAATTCTATCAATACATAAAGTCAATGTCACCAACAATATAAAACAATAGACAGAGAAAAAAAGAAAGTTACAATGCGGAAGAGTTACCATATAGACAGGGCATCAACTTCAACTTCAGCATTTTTCATGTTTCCTGTCAAAAGAATCAATATTGTGTTGTACCAGAGCTCGAGGCTGCAAATTTTACCATATCTTTAAGTTAGTAGGGCCTAGATTCTTTTAAGCACATTCGTGTTTTAATCTAAATAACAGAATATCAATCGTGCTTTATATATATATATATATATATATATATATATATATAGGGCTTAACATTTCTGCAGCAGCCGTAGATAGTGTTATCTACAACTGACACAGAAAAGTGGGTCCAACGACTTTTAAAAAAAAAAAAAAAAAAACTCAGGATCCGTTGCCGTATCCTAGGATTCGGACGTGTATCCTTGCTTGCTGTAGGTACAGCAGCTGCAGAAATCATTTTGCCATATATATATATATATATATGTAAAGAACCTTGGGATACACCACCCCAAAAGCTAGCTCAAAGGGTGGGAGTGCCCAAGTCCCAAAGTTCTTTACATGGTATCAGAGCCTCGCCGCCCCCAACTTTCTCTTGTGGAATTTCTTAGCACAGGTAGGCTGGGCCTGTTGCATCATCCACTCTTCAAGCCCAATGGGCTCTCGTGTGAGGGGACGTGTTGAGATATATAGTCCCACATTGGTTGTATGTGCAACTAATATGGAGTTTATAAGGCCTTGGGCACTCCCACCCTTTGACCTAGCTTTTGGAGTGGTGTATCTCAAGGTTATTTACAATATATTTCATTTTATATTATACATTCATGAATCTCACCACAACATGGCACCAGATGAAAGGGAAAGCTTGAAAAAAGGCCAGAGATCTTTGAATGCTAAAAATGAGAAACCTTTCCAAGTTTCAGAGCACCAACCACATGTAATAAATATAAGTTGACCAATGTTGGGAATCCAGTATGCCAAAATTGTTGATGTCATTGCACCAGTAATCCCAAGTTTGAATTTCATAGTCAAAAGCCAGGAGAAGAGTACATGAATAATTATTGAGAAAGCTGCCAAGAATGAAATAACAATGTTCTTGCTTTGAGATTGTAAGAATGTCTGGCAAGTGAATGAGACAATAAAAGCAAACATGATAGGAATTGACCAGAGAGAAATTGTTCCTGCCACTCTTGTTATGCTTTCTTCTTGTCCTAAGATCTTAAAAATTGGGCTTGTGAAGAAGAACACTGGAAGAAGAAGGATTGCAGCTACGAATAAAACTATCCATGATCTTTGAAGATACACTCCCATCATGCTATATTCTCTTGCACCGTATCCTTGTCCACAAAGTGTTGCCAATGCACTAGCCATTCCTAACTCCAGGGTTCAATTTATAACCAGATTTTGGGTTATTATATGAAAGCATTATATTGCGAATAATTCAATATGTGTATTAAGTGAACAAATGCTTTTTCTGACATACATAGGTGAAGTACATGAAAAACACCAGCTTCCTAAACAACCTAGAAAGTAAAAATCACATATCATTTGGTTTGATAGCAGATGTTCACTAGTTCATATAACATTGTCCTTTTTTAGTCCCTCCTTAAAAATGTTAACCATATGTCTCTCTTGCAACCCCAACTTTGCTATTTATTAAAACTACTATTATATTTGTAAGACTCTATTTGATTGAGAAAGACATTGTAAAGAAAATCTTTAATATAAATGCTTAAAAATAAAAATAGAGTAGGAGGTTGGAATATTGAATGCATACATTAAAAAAGCTATGTAAGGAAAGAGCTAGAAAACTAATGGCTTTATTGTAGGTCCATGCATTTTTCTCGAGTTTGATTCACTACAACTCATATGTTGAAAATAGTAAAATCCACATGCATTCATTCTATTTGTACAATTCATATCCGGTTACTCTTATAATTTTTTAAGGGGATATTTTTACTACAAAAAAAACTCACTACCAATCCACTATCTATCTAATCACCATCGGATCAGAGAGAAAGAATGCTGAAAAGTTTTTGAAGAAAAAAAAAATACTGATTCAATAGTGATTAGATAGTGTATGGATAATGAGTTTTTTTTATAGTAAAAGTATATCTCCATAATAATTTTTTATTTGTTTCAAGTTTATGGTAATTGCTAAATGATGTGCACCAGATGAAAAGAATTTCTCAAGTACATCTCATTATACGTAAAAGACGTTGAAATCCATAATTAAATAAAAAAAAAAACTGGCAAAAAGTGAGAGGCGGGAAAATTTACCAGAATGCCATTAGCGAACCTAATGAGAACAGTGTATACAAGAGCAAAGGCAGCGAGTTGCTTTGAGCCAATATGACCAATGAATGCTTGGCTGATGACATTGATTCCAAAGGTTGAAAATCTAGTGAATATGGCTGGTCCTGCCACTATCCACATTAGCTTGCTCTCTTTCCATGCTCTCTTCATTAATGATAATTCCTCTCCTTCTGACATTTCTTCCTGAGGGTCGCTCATACTTCATGGAAAGGGTTGGACCACATAGAGTTCTTAGAGTTTAGGATAATTAATTAATGATAAGGGATGTCATTGTTTCGATTTTCAAAATGTTTAGTAAGTTGAGAATAATAAGGAAGCAAGAGTTTAAATAGGAGTATAATGAGACATTTATGGAAGCGTTAGACATTCATGAATAGATTATGATCTCCCAATTGTCTCAACCACCCTGATTATGTGCATTTTCCTAATGTGTGTGTGTGTTCAGTTGGATTGTAAAGAGCAGTGGCGGAGCCACACCCCGAGTTGAGGTAGTGTTAAAATTTTTTGACATATTAAATTATCAAAATATTTATTATAATTACACAAATTAATCAGGAAAAAAATTTACTATAAACTCTAACATAGTTATCTAAATTATGTATTAAATAATGTCACGTAACATTGAAAATTCAAATGAACAATTATCAATGATTATATATCAAAGCAAACATATAAAAATGCACTAACCTTTTCGAAAAGCATTTCAAACATAAGAATTTCACTTTCCTCCCACATCATAATAAGTAAGGGATAGATTATTCTATCTATCATTTTTTTTGTCTACCTTTTCCTACCACTCTCCAACATCGTTAGATCAGAATCTTAATAGGAGAGAAAAATAATAAATGTAATTGAGATTCTGATCCAATGATATTGAAGAGTGGTAAGTAAAGGTAGGCAGGAAAACGATAAGTAGAATAAACTATCCCAATAAGTAATGGACCAAGCATTGTCCTAAGGATATGAAAACACAAAAATATAATAAATATATGCATAATAACATTTAATAAATAATTTAAAATATAATAGAAACATGCATATCTAAAATTGTAAACGACACTTTTTTAAACTGACAAAATCTTCAAGGATAGAATCTCGTAATTCTTGAATAAATTACTTTGTACTTGAAACAAATTGTATATCATTCAAAATATCTTGAGATTTTTGTTGTTATGCTTGACAAAGAATTTCAGTGATGCTTATTATCTCATTCATCAAAAATAAATTAAAGATAAATTTAAAGGAAATGATCATCTTATAAGCTGCAGTAGCATTTCTTTTTTTAGATTAATTTGAGCCTTCATTACGAATTATTTTAAGTAAGTAGCATCTCTTCTTTGAAAGTAATTTGAGCCTTCATTATGAATTATTTTAAGTACTGAACATTATTGCAATTGTAAATAACAAATTAGGGCTTTGAAAGTGATTTTAATTGATGGGTCAGATAAAAGGGTTAGGGTATTGGGTTTTATTTTTCTGATTGAAAAACATAAATATAATTATATTTATTTAGGTGGTGCCAAATTACCAATTTAATCTTAGTTAATTATAATTAATTATATATTTATATATAACAAATAAAAAAATTTAAAACCAAGCAGGTGCCAAGGCACCTGCTGGCATAAGGATGGCTACGCCACTGGAGTGAGAGTATGTATTTGATTTTTCACAATATTATTTTTAGAAGGGATTTAAAGTCTTAATTTTGAGACCCGCTTTGAATCAGACTAGTTGCGAAGTGATGAATCGATTGGAATATCTCAAAAAAAAAAACCCATTTCTTCTCCTAAAAACTTGCTAGGAAAGACTTTTAAAAAATTAGTTATTTTATTAGAATACCTTTTTTTTAAAAGTTAAAATTATTTTATGTTTGAATACATAATAAATACTTTTAAATTAAAAAAGTATTTGGATCGATATTAAAAGTAATAAGCACTTTTTATATATAAAATTAGGGTTCGCTTTTTCTGCAGTTACTGCAGATAAGTTATCTGCAGTAAGCCAATACGACGTCGTTTTGGGACGGAAATCATGATGTTTTTGTAATTTTAATTTATTTTAGGTTATAATAGTCTTTATATTTATAATTTTTTAAGATTTCAATACCAAAACGACGTCGTTTTGGGAATAAATGCAGATAACTTCTCTGCATTAACTGCGGAAACATTTTTCCCATAAAATTATCAAAAAGAATATATCATAATAGTGGGGTGGAGTAGTTTTAGTGAGATAGACTCGTAGAGTAGTTATAGTGAGGTTGAGATAAAATTGAAATTTTAAAAAATTATTTGACTTTTCGCTTTTTTTAGAAGTAAGAAATTATTACTTCTAAAAAATTATTAATTTAACTTCTTTTTTTTAATTCTGCACTTTTTTTTAAAAAAAATTTCTATGCATGAAATGGCTCAAGAGATATATATATATATATATATATATATATATATATATATATATATATATATATATATATATATATATATATATATATATATATATATATATATAGGGTTTAGTGAGTATCAAGTGACTTGATGTAAATTAGGTCTAGTGCACTATATTCTCCCGCGAGAATATAGTGCACAAAATTTTTTGCCTATGTTCTCCCGGGAGAACACCTACAGAACACCATTGTAATAGAGAATATAGTCAAAATTCACTCATTGGACAGTCTGGTGACTGAATTTTGAATTTTATATATATATATATATATATATATATATATATATATATATATATATATATATATATATATATATATATATATATATATATATAAAAGTTCATTCAAAAGCCCTCTAACCGGCCACACATGCATGCTCAAATTGGAAAGGTCTTATCAAAAGGACGTTATATAATAACCCTTGGAATGGAGTTGTTAAATCTCACGTATATCTTACCAAAGCTATTTGTTGGAATTTATATATAAATTGTGTAGACGATCTATTGGTTATGAATAAGAAGTGAGTTAAGGAAGAAAAGAAAAAAGGGAAATTGAAGAGGAGTGTGGGTTTAAGAAGTCCCATATTGGATAATTAGTAGAAGGTGAGAGAGATTATAAGCTCCCACCTCACATTCATAAATTGGCCATTGGATCACTACATATTTTGTGGGGGGGGAAGAGCTAGGTGGGCTTAGGTCCACCAAAACACGTGCATGCACCGCCGTCTGGCTCGGCTCGTGCGTGTCCATTGCTTCCCTCCAATATTTTCCAAAACCAAACGTTTCTAGTCGCCGATTTTTTGAACATTTTGAACCGAACCGGTTCTTATCTTTCGTGAGCCGGTCATCGGTCATACCCGTTCGCAGCCGTCAGACATGGCGATTTGCCGTCGACGGTGTTTCATCGTGACCGGTCAGTATCTATAAATAGACCATGACTCCCCCCCCCCCCAAGAAAAATTATCCAATTTTCTGCAATGTTATTCTGCCAGATTTTTTCCTTCATCCGGTTTTGCATTTTTCGTTCATACCTCCGGTGTACTTCCTCTGGCAATCTGTTGTGTTCATTTGGACTGTTGACTGATAATGCCACCACTCCTCAGACGAAATCCGTTCCATCTTGGGAGACACTTGTCCATCAATCTTTGGAATCAGTGAGTGGCAAATTGTCTTAAGGAGACACATTTTGTGGGCTCAGATTTAATCCATTATTCTGCATAGATTTTTCACTCTGTCTCATTATCTGACATCAAGTAAGTATGTTCTAATTTTTCTTATTCCATTATGTTTGATAATTCTGATCATTTATCTATTCTGCTCTATACATGGGTTCAAACCTCTTAGTGATTTAATATCACCCACTCTCTTCAAATAACAATCTGAAGACAATCTGGTGTTTTGAACCTGTGATTAGTATATTCTGTTTTTTGTTTTATATACTGTTTCTGGTTTTATTTACTGTGATGTGTGCTTAATCTGTATGATTAATTTCGGATTTTGTTTCTGTAACAGAAATAGCTACCGCAAGTACAAACATTGCCAATCTTACTGCCTCTGTTCCAATGCATGTTGACAAACCTGAAAAATTAAATGGGACAAATTTTAAATGTTGGCAACAGAAGATGTTGTTCTATTTGACAACACTGAGTCTGTAACGTTTCCTCAAGGAAGATGCTCCTAAACTGGATGAGGGAGAACAACCTGACAAGGAAAAGGTTGCTGCCATTAATGCATGGAAGCATTCTGACTTCCTTTGTCGAAACTCTATTCTCAATGCTCTAGACAACACACTGTATAATGTGTATAGTACCTTGGAAACTAGTAAGGAACTATGGGATAGTCTGGACAAGAAGTATAAAACTGAGGATGCTGCCTTAAAGAAATTCATAGTTGGTAGATTCTTGGACTTCAAGATGCAAGACTCCAAATCTGTTGTAAGTCAAGTTGAAGAACTTCAAGTGATTGTGCATGAAATTCATTCAGAAGGAATGTCTCTTAGTGAGTCTTTCCAAGTTGCTGTTTTCATAGAAAAGTTACCAAATTCTTGGAAAGATTTCAAGAATTATCTCAAGCATAAGCGCAAGGAATTGTCACTTGAAGATCTGATTATGAGATTGAGGATAGATGAAGATAATAAGATTTCTGATAGGAATGGAAACAATCTTATGATCTCTAAGACTAATGTGGTTGAAAAGGGATCAAAGTCAAAGAAGAGAAAATATTGTGAAGATGGAAATGCTAAGCAAGGAAAGGGCAAAAAGTTCAAAGGCAACTGTTACAACTGTGAGAATCCTGGCCACCGTGCAAGGGACTGTAAGAAGAAACAAAAGAAAGATGATAGGAAGCCACAAAAGTTCAATAAGAAGAAGAAGACCACTCAAGCCAACATGGTTGATATTGCTGATAAAGTTGAAGAACTGAATCTGACAGCAGTGGTGATGGAGTGAAATCTGATGGGAGATACTAAAGAATGGTGGGTGGACACTGGTACCACCAAATATGTCTGTTCAAACAAGTGGATGTTCTCGCCCTATACTCCTACTAGTAATGATGAGAAGCTTTATATGGATAATTCATCTACTTCAAAAGTTGAAGGTGTGGGAAAAGTGGCTTTGAAGTTGACATCTGGCAAGATAGTGACCCTCAATAATGTGCTCCATGTGCCTGATATTCGCAAGAACCTAGTTTTTGGATCTCTGTTATGCAAGAATGGCTTTAAACTTGTATTTATTTTTGATAAGTTTGTA